CTGAGCGGGCTCCATGCTTGCCGTGGTATGTTGTCTGCACAGGTAACCCAGGTAAAAAGGCGCGAATCTATTGTCTGCCGTTGCTGTGACGGGGGGGGAGGGGCCTGACGACATGTACCCAGAACCTCCCGCGACACTGTTTTGCATCATCCGGGCATTGGGATCTCAACCCAGAATTCCAAGGGGCGGCGGAGACTGCGGGAACTGTGGGATAGCTGTGGAATAGCTACCCATAGTGCAATGCTCCGGAAGTCGACGCTAGCCTCGTACTGTGGACGCGGTCCGCCGACTAGAGCACTTAGAGCATTTTATGTGGGGACACACACAATCGGCTGTATACAACCGATTTCTATAAAACCGGCTTCTATAAATTCGAACTAATTTCGTAGTGTAGACATACCCTTAGAGATGTTCCAATAAGCTTCTTTCACAGACTAGACTCCGTCCTAGTCTGGGCCTAATCCCTTCCTCTGGTACAGTCTTTGTTAGATCCAGCAGACATCTCAGGTGGTAAGCAGGGGTTCTCTCGTGACTAGCAGCCCCTTTTGTCTTGTTTCACCCCCTTTTATAGCTTTGGCACAAGGCGGGAATCTTTTGTCTGTGCTTGTTTCCCTTGGGAAAAATTGAGCTCCCTATGGGAAAACTCCAGCAGGAACCATCCTTCTACTGATGCTCAATCAATGAGAAACCTACCAGACCCTAACACTGTCTAGGAGGATGTGAGTATGACTGTCGCTATAATTTATGCATGGATATATTTAGGATTTATATATGCTTGGATAGTCATAACTTTGCAGTAACTATAATAAAATTGATAAAAGATATTGGACATTGTTCTTGTGAGTGTATGGGTTACTTTCCTTGATCTTCATATATTCCTAGAAGCTCTAGATATGAAACAAGTGGCAGAGGTACCTCTGTTGAACTTGAGACTTTAGCCACCAGAACATAACCCACAGTGGTGTCATACATCATCACTAAATGTACTTTAAATAACATAAAAGGCTACACGTCAGAACCATCTGATAGTCATGTTTTTGGAACAGGAGCAGCAGGCCATGGGTAATGTCCGGATCCCCAGACTCAGAGGAAGAACCAGAATCTTGCACCAATGGCAGTGCCAACAGAGCCGACAGAATGGGGTGTGTTACATGAACATTGCCAGGTGGCGGCAGATCAGATGCAGGGGACAGAGTTCCCTTGGTAGATAAGAGTACCAGAGCACGTAGAGACGTCATCCTTTCCAGGGTGAACAATTCATGAGGCCCGGGAGCATCTCCAAGTCTCCCCAGAGTCAGCAGTACCAGGTCTATGGATGGGACTGGAGCTGGTAACAGGCCCTATCTCAGGACCAGAAATTCACTGGAACCGATGCCAGGGTGTGGGGGTCCATAACCAGTACCAGCAGATCCAGCGAACAATGCAGTCTTTTGTTGGTCTTGTGGGCCTTGGAGCATGGTGCTCTCCCTTGGCCGGAATTCATGGATGGCACAGTCTCTCTCTTAGATCTGGAGGGAGACTTACTTCCATGCTTATGTGCATGCTTCCGTAATTCATAGCTAGGCCCCACTGCGGGGTCCATAATACTGATACCAGCAACGTTATATTGGGGCTCCGTGGTAAGAAGTGCACTCATGGATTGTTCAGGGCGGTGTATGACCGAGGGGAGAGAGGGTGTTGGGGGGCTTGTTCCCCGGCCAGGATCCAACTGCCGCCCTGTGGCAACCTCCATGAGGTGCTTCTTAAGGTGGAGGGCTCTGCCTTCCTGTGTGTGGCAGGGAAGGAGAGAGAGATCCTGCACCTGGCCATGGTGTGGGCGTCCCCCAAACAGTACAGACAGCGTTGATGCACACTGTTGAGGGAGAACAAAATGAGGGTAGGAAGCGCAGACTTGGGTGGGGAGGATCGTTTGGCAGGAAAGGCCAAAGCGGCATCCCAAAAGAAAGTTACTACCAAAAACCATGGAAGATCCTGACTTCGTTCAATACCCAGATGCAGATGCTGGGGTGGGGGTGTTGGGGACTGTTTGGCTGAAAACCACTGGAGCAGCATCCCCAGTCCTTAGCCCTACGAAACCTTGAGAAACAAAACTATTACACAAAACATTCAAATTCCTAAGTAAAGAATAAAAACAGTTTTCCAGGAAATGTGTCACCAAGGACAGCAGAAACTCCGACTCAGACCATGCAGTGGTAAGAAGAAACTGAAGATGCAGTCATCTGCCCTTTATTGCCTCAGGCAAAGCCACGAAGCAACACAGAGGCGCATGCGCGGACTGACAAACACTACTACTTTGAAAAGTTCTGGTTCCAGGAGCACGTGCATTACCCTCAATGGAATACAATAGGGACCATCACTGAAATGGTTTAGATGTTCTTCTGAGAGACCTCCGTTAGGTGTTATTTTGGGGCAGGTCTCTGGCCCATGTTATCCAGGAAGTCACCCTAGATGAGCACAGTGGTCCCTTCTGGTGCAGAAATCTGTCTGACTCCAGACTACTCCCTGCGTTGGGACACTTGAAGCCAGGGCAGGATGAATCCTTGGCTAGTCATTGTTCTCGGGCACTCTCAGTTACCACTCACCTGTAAACCCAGGTCTGGGATGATGGGAGAGAACCTGTAAGCCCGGAGCAGGGACATCAGCAGCTGCTTGAGGCATTCATGCACCTCGTAATCCTGAGAAAGAGTAAGAGAAAGACTCAACAGAAATCGACATCTGGGGGGATGTGGGGAGGGCTGGAAGGTGTGCATTTCAGAAATAACCAAATCAGGACCAAGAGAGGCATCGCCTCTGGCTGAACACATGGAAATGGTGTTTGCCTAGGCAGGAAAGAGTGGAGTCCCCTGGGTTGTATGTGACCCCATACTGCAGCCGGACACTAGTGATATGAACCAGGCATCTCACAGTACAGAGCACATGTAGGCATTACCTTCCCTCCTGGCTTTTGCTTAGTCATAACATAAGAGTTCTAGAAAGAGAGGGCCCGATTCTCAGATTCACACTCCTCCCTGCCCCAAGATTTCCCTGCATAGGAGGAACCCCCAGATGGCCAAGAGCTGGGATAGCAGCGCCTACATCCATGCCAGGGCATGCCAGGGCATTCTAACACATCAACAGTCTGCAGCTATTGGAACCAGCCAGCAGCAGCCCTCAGGTACAAACCAGCCCCTGAATCAAGGAATACAAAGCCACCTCTGGCCCAGCATAGCCCCAGTGGTGCCAGAACCAGGGGACCAGAAGGCCACGGCCCTCCCACTTTTTGAAAGTGGACTTTTCACCACAGGCCTCCCCGCCCGGCCAGGCCAGCAGCTGGAGCCTGGCCGGGGAGCCTGGGCTGTGTGGGGCGCTGCGGACCCTCCACTTGCCTGGGGTGGGACGGCTGAGATCAGTCCCCAGCCCGTGTCCCCACCCCCCAGACCTTCCACCCAGGGCAGGTGGAGGGTCCGTGCTGCGGCTCCCCACAGCTGCCTGGCTGTGGCTCCAAGGCCCGGGCCCCAGCCGGAGCCAGGTCAGGGAGAGCTGCACAGGCAGCTGTGGGGAATCGCAAACCCTCCACCTGCCCTGGGGGCCCACGGGGTGGGGCCAGGGGCTGCTCTTGGCCCTATCACCCCAGGCAGGTGGAGGGTCCGCGGCTCCTGGCCTGCTTTGGCTTGGCCAGGGCCTGGTGCAGAAGGGGCCAAGGAGGGAGCGGGGGGCTCTCCCCCACCAGCACTTTTGGGAAGGTCCCGCCCCTGCTGCATGGCCCCACCAGACCCCATCACCTATTATAGATCCAGCAGACACCTGGGAAGTTCTGTTCTGCAGCCCTCACCAGGCTGCAAGTCCCATTCCCTAGAGACAGTCCAACAATGGACTTTATGAAGAGGGAGGAGGGTTAGTTTCTGGAAGCTGACCTGCACTCAAGCACTCTGAACCCACCCACCTGATGGGCAGTCTGGCACTCTGCCTCTGACACAGCATCGGCAGCAGAGAGTAATAGCTGTCTAATACCAGAGTGAACATTGAAACAAGTCATCTCCTAGACACCATGTGGCCCAGGTTCTGTTGGCGAAGAGCCCAGAAAGCCAATGCAGCTCCCCGGGTCCATACCAGACCGAAAGGTACCTCTAGGTACCTCTCAGGACTTCATCCTGCCAGGGCTTCTGATTTCACTCCTGGAGGACAGCAATGAGAGAGAGAGAGGGAGGAAGGAGGGGGAGGCAGGGGCCAATCTGTCACCTGAGCTATGGGCCAGCAAGCGTCCAGAACATGCTAGGGGAGATTTCACTGCAGCATCTGACCCATGGTGATGAGGGCTAGTAGCAGCCATCTGCTAGCCAGGTGCAACCACAGGGGTGGGCAATACCCTGGAACTCCTGCAAGCCTAGGGTGACCAGATAGCAAGTGTAAAAAAATCAGGACAGGGGGTGGGGATAATAGGTGCCTATATTAGAAAAAGCCCCCAAAATCGGGACTCCCTATAAAATTGGGACATCTGGACACCCTATGCAAGCCTGACCCCAGCTACCCAAGAGTGTCTCTTCCCTACAGCTCCTGGAGCAGTTAGATCAGCCGCCAGGCTGTTTCTGCCAGTTCTGGGTTTAGACCCACCAGGGTACTCTCAGCAGGGGGTTCCCAGGAGACGCCTGCCAAAGCCCAGCTCAGACACCTCCCAGGAAGGGGCACAACCTCCTGGCCTGGCTGAGCCTGGGCTGTATTTCATTAACCCAGTACTAAGAGGGCAATGGCGTGACACTAGTTGCCACTGCAGCCAATGCAACGTCATGGTCTATAACATTTCCCAGGTAGCCCTGGCCGCTCCAATGAAGAGAACTTTATAATTACAGAAGTATTACTAAATAGTAGTTATTTTCAAAGAGTTTTAATCAAGAGTAACAGTTTTACTGTCACACAAGCAGGAAGTTAAATAATTAACATCTGTGTTTATTTACAGTTAAGGAAGCTAGAAAAGTCCGATTCTGAAATCGCTTTTCAGAGGTCAAGAATATCAAACTCTTTCCTCCTCTCTTCCCAGTTCCCTAGTAGCAGCTCGGTCTTTCCCTCTCCACAAGGGACAGTTGTTAACACTGAAAGGACCTGGTCACTGGGTTTTGGGTGGGGGGAGAAACTCACTATGGCCAGCAATTTCTAATTATCAATCTAGTTCTTCCCAGCTCCCTCCCTGCAGTCACTGTAGCCAGGGCCTGGCGTGCTGAGAACAGCCAGTGCCAGGGCACCAGATGCTGGTACTGCATTCTTAAGGGAGTACAGCTGGCAGGCAAAGCTGCTTTGGGGGATGGTGGCAAGAAACCAACTCAACTGTTAAACCATGCCAGTGCAGAGTGCAGACAAGATGGGCAAATGGGGAAGCCCAACACCCAGCCGAGATCCTGACACCTGCCCATTGTTACAGAGAACCAAGGGGATGCAGAGTTAAAAGAGAGAGGGGGAAGTGCCTGAGCAACTCACCTCCATGAGAAGCCACATGAGATCCAGTAGCTGCTGGATGAGAGGATGTGCTTCCACAGCCCCTCCCTGCTCCAGAATGCTCAGCAGGAAGTTCATGAGCACATCTTCCACCAGGTACACTTTGCACTGCAAACAGAAAGCCTGTGGTCAGCAGCTCTAGCCAGCAGCAGCACCAAACAGCAGCAGAGGACGGGTTCTCAGCACTAGACAGAGGGTCTAGGCTCAGGTGGAAAGCTGTAGATTTGCTGGGAGCCAGCATCAGGTAGGAACGGTGACTTACTGCTGCCCATGGGATATTCCTGTTACAGCAGAGTGAAGATGACACGTCTGGCAGCAATGCCCGGCTCGGTGCCATGAACAGCCCAGCCCACTTCAGGAGTACACGGAAACCGTACCATTTCTGACAAGTGCCAGGCAAAAGTGGGCCACAGTAGATGTGAAAGCAAGAAAGCAGAGCCTGACTACCAAACTCAGGGTACAAAGGGCTCCAAAAGAGTGTCCCCTGCAGCCCATTAACCCATAGGTGGCAACTCTATGGGTGCTCCGGGGCTGGAGCACCCACAGAAAAAAAATTGATGGGTGCTGCAGCTCCCCATGGCCCCGCCCCACCCCCCTGCCCCAGCTTACCTCCACCTCCTCCACGAGCACGCCGCCATGTCCTGCTTCTGCCCCCTCCCTCCCAGCGCTTGCGCCGCGAAACAGCCGATTCATGGGGCAGGGAGGGAGGGAGGGGGAATGCAGCGCACTGGGGGAAGAAGCGGGGCTGGGGCGGGGATTTGGGGAAGGGATCCAATGGGGCAGGGAGGGGGTGGAGTTAGGGTAGGGACTTTGGGGATGGAGTTGGAATGGGGGCAGGGGGCACGGGCGCCCACTGGCGCCGGAGAAAGTTGGCGCCTATGCATTAACTCCCTGCAATGCAGCACCAATCTCACCCCTATCACCACCACTCTGCAGTTCACTGACCAGATAGCAAGCACACACCCTGGTAAACACAAAGCCTCCACACTAGCTCTGCAACATCACTCTCTCAGTCAGGCTGTAGCAGGAGCTGCCACCCCATGGGAGAGGGGCCATTCATGACTTGGGACTACCTGACAAATAACTCTAGGCCTATGAGTTCTCCGATACCAGAGCATGTCACCTCTCCTGCCTGAGCAGGCAGCTATGAAAACCAAGGAGGAGTTGTGGGTCCCCCTCCCTGCAAGCACTGGGGGGAGCACATGCACATCCAGCACTCACCATGAGAGGGGCAAAGTGGTTAAAGATGTGTGCCAGGGTGATCAGCACCGTGGGCTCTCCTTGCAGCTGCCACATCGACGTGTCCTTCTCCACCAACTTCCCCTCCTGCAAAACCAATCCCAGGAGACATAAGGCTCTGAGCAACCCCAATCCCGCCTGCAGCGCCATCATCAGACGCACGATTGAAGGAGGGGGCAGCACTCCCTGCCTCTGCAGAGAGGACAGCAGCACAGGGGATGTCCCTGAAGGGATGCCCAAAGGCATGCACATCCCCCACGCCCCATAAGGCGGCTTTCAGCAGGGATGCCATTATAGAACTCAGCATCCAAAACGCCACAATGCCGAAACAGCCTTTGGGGGGTGAGTTCTAGTTCAGCCAGGCCCGACACCAGATGTCAGGCAAAACCCATTCCATAAACCTGCATCCCCAGGACAGCCTGACGGTGCACGCTTAGAAACAGAAATGCATGTTACTGCACTGCTATATGAAACCCCCACCCCATTCATTTTCTCCATACCCCCCCTCCCCCTAAAGTGCATTTTCCCTCCTCTCCCACCATCCACACTCAGAGGAGGTGAGAGAGAGGCCTGCAGGCCTGAGGCTCAACTCCCAGCACTGGAAGGAATTTTCCAAGATACAGACAGCTGTGGGGGTGCCAGGAGTGCTCTGAGCCCACCAGGCAGTGCTGGCTCAGCGGCTGCATCTCCAGGTGCTGCCTGGTACAGCTGGGCGCCAGGCCCACAGTTATGTTTGTTTCACCCCCTGTTGCTCAGCTGTTGGGGAAGGGACCAATCAGGAGACAGTGGGTGGAATGCAGGCATGGGGATGTATGAGAGTTCATTACGTCTCAGATGCTAGGACAGGGGTTCTCAAACTGGGGGTCATGAGGTTATTACATGCAGGGTCGCAAGCTGTCAGCCTCCTCCCCAAACCCCGCTTTGCCTCCAGCATTTATAATGGTGTTAAATATAAAAAAGTGTTTTTACTTTATAAGGTGGGGGGGGGGTCACACTCATAGGCTTGCTCTGTGAAAGGGGTCACCAGTACAAAAGTTTGAGAACCACTGTGCTAGGACAAAAGAAGGCACAAGAATTTACAGGGATGGTGACTAGAGTGCACTAGCCTTTCCCACCATGCCATGGGACATGCTCAGCTCTTCAAGTTACTGCATGTGTGCATCCCACTCACAGTGTCCGTGTGCCCAGCACAGGAGCTCAGAATGTTTTCACCAGCAGTGTGTGTGGGGGGGGGGGGAAGAGAGAGAGAGAGAGAGAGAGAGAGAGAGAG